GGCCGGGCGCGGCGACCAACAGCGGGCTGGGCGAGAGCTCGAGCGACGAGGCGGAGGAGCGGCGGCCGGACCCGTTCGAGATGCTCTCTCTCGACGACGTGGCCGCACCGCCGCGCCGGCAGTAGGGAGAGGGCCGACCGGAGGGGTCGCGGAAGAAGGGGTCGACTTCGAGCGGGGTGGCGTGAGAGGAGTGGAGTGGTTGTGGGCGGATTTGGTCGGTGCGTTTCTGGTGCGTTTGCGTGCATCGTCCCCATTCGCTCGTGCGGTGGTCGAAGCGCTTTTTCTGGGTGAGTGGCATGTTCATGTATCTTGTATGCGTGTCCTCGGGTGGGTGTGCAGTGCGGTCCTGTGTGTTCAGAGCTGTCGCAAGCGCGTGGCACGCGTTGGTGCGCGCGCCGCGACCCGCGTGGGCGCGTGCCTAGGCTCCCCGCGTGCGGCCGCGCAACCCGCAACTCCGCGCGGCGAGTGTGATAATGTGTGTGCAGTGCTCGAACTTTACCGGTATGAGACCGGTATTTGGTGATATTTTGATTAACTTTGAAGTGGTATGGTATAGTGGTATGCGAAAGTGGTATGCGGAGTGTTGATTAGTGTAGCGGCTGTGGGTGTGGTCCCAGGAGGCGCGAAGCCGCCATGCAAAAGTGCGGGTATTACCCGGGTATACCCGGATTTTTGCAGGTATACCCGCAAAATACCGGGTATTTTGCCAATTTCGCCGATTTAGCCGCAAAAATGCACTCGGACTCGCTTTGGTTTCCGCGAGGCAGGTGGTATCCCATACCACTTTTTGATTAGTGCAGGCCTAGGGGGTTTGATTTATGATTAGCCCGCAAAAACTCCCCCATACCGGTAAAGTTCGAGCACTGTGTGTGTGCTGTGTGTACAATGAATATTTTTCTTCTTTGGTTTTCCTACCGCGGGAGGAGATACCCCGCCATATCCGCCGTGGCTTTCACGCGTTATGTGCCCCGCGCGCAGCGCGCGCGCTGCACCCCTGAGACCTGTGTGCAGGCGCAGCGCCACAGGTGACACGTCTCGCGCTACTGTATCACTCGCGAGAGTCCGCCCCGTGTGCGGTGTGGCGCCTCCGTCCCCGCGCTTGTACTCTACCGCGATCACACACCCTACTCTCCCAGGCCGTCTGTACTGCCGAGCGCAGCATCCTTCCTCGCCGAGCAGGTTGCAGGGTCTACGTCGAGTGACTCGAGCGGGCTTGCCTCGCGCTGCACAGCCGTCGCTCCGACCTAGCCCCAATTCTTGCGTGCGCCACCGCTGGCAGGCGACGGCGAGAAGAGCGAGCCCCTCTCCCCGTCCCCCTCCAGCAGCGGAGGGAATTGCGGGAGGCTCGGGTTGGAGCCGGTGGCAGCGAGGCTGTGCCGCCTGGAAG